TATATATATATCTGTGTGTGTGTATTTGGACTTATAAATTTGGAGATTTGTGTTAGTGCCTTCATTCCTTCTTAGTAAGTTCTTATTTATTTGATAATACACCGAGTTTCCATTCTTGTCTCTATTATTCAGTTCCTCCCCACATTTTCCGTCTTCCGGAATTGTTGTTCCTAAATACTCATGACATGTTACTTGCTCCACTTGCTCCATGCTACTATATTTTTGTAAAAGCTCAGATCAAATATGGCGTAACTCAACAAATCAACTGTTTACTTCTGCCACCAGGGCTATCGAGGCATCAGTGGCAGCTAGTGTTTAGGTTGCACGATTGCACAACCTCCAGATAATTGAATAATATCTTAGAAATATACATTATCTTTTAGTGACTTACAATATTCAAGATATTGCAGCAATATCAATATATATGAAATCATTTTGATACCAAAGAACGTTCGACTGGCGCTGTCTCCGGTGTCTGATGCCTTCCCAGATACAGCACCACACTTAGCTCTATTACTGGGTTTACTGCACTGGGCTTTGTTCTTTCTCTTTGACACTGGGAACATGCGGGCTTTGGTGACGCATTAAAATGGGAGGGGCGACCGCTGTAGAGCGCTTCGCGGCGACCGAGGGAGTTTGAAGGGAATACCAATATTTTGTCTTCGTCTGATTAGCTGCAACTTAATAAATTATGAATTTTAGGTGTTATTGAAAGTACCAAAGTTCATTCAATTATTAACGGCATTTAATACATTATTTATGATATTAAGAACAATTGTTTTAATTTAATATTATATTTATTGATTCAAAATGTACACTTGATGAATTCTTTGTGTAAATTTGAACGTCCTGGAAGAAAGTCCCTTTCTGTCTCGCACGGTGGATGCATATTTCCGCCTGCAGCAGCTTCTAGTGCAGTACTGCAGTTACCAGGGCCCGGCAACTCTCCATCAAAACTGGAGACAAAGCTCGAGGTAGCTACTATAGGAAGCGCTAGTGTCGCCGGGTGCCGTTGCAGGTTAGGCTTGCCAACTTTCCCACATACAAATTGGCTAATTTGTGAGAAATACGAAAAGTGTCTTATAAATGTACAACTATTCATAATTTCCTACTTGTAAGAAACCTGTGAAGAAAGCGCGAACGTAGACGTTATCTTTTGTAATATTATGGGGCTGCTTGCGACCCGCGAACTCCCGCAGTAGCCACGCACGTTTAAAGTATCGTTGGCAGCAGTTCGTGTTTTAGTTCCTGTAAAGGTGATGCAGCAGAGCGCGTCACCGTAATGGTCTCCACCACGTTATATGGTAGTTATAGGGCCCTGGCAGTTACATTACAGTCGGAGAGCGCTAGTGGGAATACGAGCGTGTGTATAGAAGTATCCTTATTATAAAAATTATACCAGGGTAGTGAAATTTTCGAAATAAAATAGCTTTACTTGTGTGAAACCTGTCGAAGCAATAGTGCTTGTTGCCGTGTGCTGGAGTCGAACTTAAGTGCCTAGAGAAAATCAAAGTCAGAACCACGTGTGCGGACGGTGTATATATCTGTCACGGACACTACTCATAAAATCAAGTATTGTTTGTATATATACTTTTAGTTAACTTAGTTTTAATTAATTTACTTGAATTGCTTACATTTCTATTATACATTCATATTTTGAATTTTGGAAATTACATTAATGTCATTCGATGTAGATGCAACCTCTAGTGTGTTGGGGCACCAGCCGCCTCTGATCAACTATGAATTTAGCCCCTATGTCTGGATTGCACTTCCGTTTGTTTGTTTGGATTGTACGTCCGTTTGAAGTAAATCCGCTGTTGACGGTTTCATCTAATCGGGAACTTGAACGTCACTATAGTGACGTCACTCCCGAAATTTCTCCGTGAAAAATTACGAACATTTTTGGGACTGTGTTTTTGAACAGTCTGGATGTTTTCCGGAAAGTTTAATGTAGGTAATAGTTATCTCAATGATAATAATTAGTATAATTTTCTAAAATAAATATTAAAAATTGATAGTTTATAAATATTAACGGAAGGAATCAATTCTACGCGAATACCACAGGGAGCCGAAATTCCTTGGCACTTTTCATATCCGACGAAACAGCACGTGGATCCAGATGCCCCATACATTTCATTTTATTATAAAGTAGCACCTTAGCACCATCGGTAAGGTCATAATATTTACTTCGAACCATTTTCAAAACAAAAAAGTAGTGACTTGACAATGTCTGATGGAATAGATTTAATCAAATTTGTGGAAGAGATGCGTTACTAGAACCTATACAAACCAAACGAAAATATCATTGTAAATAACAACTCTGATAAGAATCACAAACCTCGGCATCCGATAATACAGCCAAAAATCTTACTTGCTATGAAACACTACAGCGTGTTACCCAACACCGCCAAACGTTGTGACGTCATTCGGCACATCTCTGTGCTAAGATTATGCAGATAGTGATCTTTTTTTATTTTTGTTTATTTTTAAAACAAAATGTTACGCCTACATAGACGTAACACATTTAGACATAGACGCAATGCGTCTCCAAGCCCTTTGGGAGGCGTTGAGCGCTTGAAATAATCCTCCATTAATAGAGTGTGCTTTTTAGAAGTAATCCTCCATTATTTGTATGCCATGTCACATCTCAACGTAGTCACTAGTCAGTTGTCAAGAGGACCCCCAGGTAGAATCTCCGCGTACGTGCTTCTACGTCACTACCTAGCGGCCAGAATTAGAAAGGAATAAGGATAAGGTTTAGGACGCTTCACAGGGGTTGTACTCGTTTTGTCGTAACAAATTTCACATGAGGTTCGACGGGGATTTTACGGGAATCGAACCCGGAACTCTCAGTGATTTAAAGCGGTCACTTCGCCACTGAGATATGAGAGCATCTTCATGATTCGTTCGGTTCGGTCATGCCACGATTTGAAATATCGTGGTCATGCTCGAGTACAATCACGGCCCTCTAGTTAGAATGTAGACGGTCGTGGTATAATTCGTCCGCAATCAGTGATTTATTGTGCCTGATTGTAAGAATTGCAGTTTTTGACCGCTAGATGACACAGGAAAGGCAGTCCGCGCCGTTTATTCTCTGGTCCGCGCCCTTCATTGCAAAGTGGGCGTTTCTGCGTTGTTGTTGCCAGGTTGCTGCGCTTGTTCTCTGCTGCTAAGCTTGCGGCTTCGGCCTGGATGGACAGGCCAGGCTGAGGTTCGACTAGAGCAAAGGGAAACGAAGTTCTTCTTCGAGTGCAGTTGAAAAGTCGGGATTTCTTGCATGACGAATAATTTGTTGAAATACCTTGATTTTAGGCCCGTATTTATCACTTTGTACGAAATGTTTAATGGCTTATTTGTAAGCATGTATAGATAAAGGAGGACGAAGATTTTTCTTCCTCAAGACTCGTGTTGTCAAGTAAATGTCATCTTGTGTACATTTTATAGTGTTTGTTGTTAAACTCAATATTGAGTGATCAGTTGAAACATGGCACGAGTAATGGTCCCTAGCCAATTAAAATTGGCAGAAAAGCTGTCACTCATAAACGATAGGGGAATTGGTATGTTGACGAGAATTTACAACATCAAAAAGGTATGTATTGTGACCATATCTCAGAACATACGTTAAATTTGTATAACCATGAAGTATAAAATATTTTTCTTGATTTTTAGAGTTAATAGTAAACCTTGAAAATTCAAATAAAAGTACATTTGTCACTTTTTGAATGTTACAAACCGAATGTTGTATGCTGATAATGCTGACATAATTATTTTGTTTTAGGCATGTGGAGATGCAAAATCAAAGCCGGGATTTCTGTCTGATAAAACCTTGGAATCCTCGATCAAATATATTGTTAGAAGATTTCCTAATATTGATATTAAAGGGGTGAGCTGTTGATTGTGTAGTAATTGTAGCAAAGATTGGTTTTTAATAGTTCATTAGTTCAGTAAGTGATAAATAAATCTCACTTAGAAAGTTCATGAGGAATTAGTAACCTTTTTATATTAGTGGCAATGCAAGTCTGATGAATTGAATCCATTGGTTGCTGCTTGGTTTTTACAGTTGCAAGCTATAACACAAATCAGAAATGAAATCATCAAATCATTATCACTGTATTATTACACTTTCGTAGATCTTTTAGACTTCAAGGATAATGTTTGTGATTTATTAACAACAATGGATGCTTGTCAAGTTCACTTGGATATGGTAAGAAAGACATCTTATTTATCTTACAATATGTAGAAATCTTATAATAAGATATATGATGTTTTTGTGAATAATCATTTTTTTTTCAGACATTAAACTTTGAGTTGACGAAGGGTTACCTTGATCTTGTCACTACATACGTGACTCTCATGGTCCTCCTTTCTAGAGTGGAGGATCGAAAGGCTGTTTTGGGTCTTTTCAATGCAGCCCACGAAGTGGTGCATAGTCAGAGGTAATACAATGATACAGATTTCATAGATATTACTGCAAAACAGTGGCAATTATGTCTAGTGGATGAAAACAGACTTGAATGTTTTGTCCGTCTATAATTGCAAAACTTTCATACAATAATTGTTCATAAACACGAGAAAGAAATTGGAACATTGTTGCACAATTTTTTCATATTCAGTCTTGAAATATCAAACTTGCCTCCTAAAAACACTTTTTTTTATTCTACTGCTATAATGTATGAGCAATGTGTTCTTAATTGTATGAAGTACCGTTCTCAAGAGATGTTTATAGAATCTACTACAGATTTCAACTCCGTTCTTTTAACCATTACAAATCCCTCGTATTGTTTGAGACACACTGGACCTAAATGTGCCATGAACATTATTCGTAAAATTGTACGAGTGTATCTTAAATATCAAGGTATATTAATACGAGTGAATCATTTGTATCAAATGAAAATTGTCATGAATTTTAATTTTTAGAGAATGAATATTTACTTTTTTTGTTACAGTGACACGAGTTTCCCAAGACTAGGTCAGATGATTATAGACTATGATCCACCAATTAAAAAATTAGCTGAAGAATTTGTTCCTCATCAGAAACTTCTTGCAAGTGCACTCATGTCTCTTTGGGGTATATACACCAGCAGGAATCTTTCAGCAGAGAAATGGAGGTATATACCATGGTTATTGTCATGTCATGTCATTGTCATACACAATAGTAATGTTGCATGTTACATACAAACATGCAATTGTTATGCAAATTTATTACTTTTGGTAAATTTACATTTGGTAACTTTGTGAGGAGTAGTTAAGTTTTTTCTCAGGTTGAGAGAATCTCTCTTCTTTGAGAATGTATTTCTCAAACTAAGGCACTGTTATCAGATAAACCAACATTGGCAGCAAAGGTCAAAAGTTAGCTCTCTCATAGTAAACCTTGACATGAGAGATGACAACTGGTCCCTCTTAACTTGAAAATAAGTTTTAATATATTTCGGTGAACAGTTCCTATGGTTTCTTTGTAATTTCTTATGCATATGACACAACTTTAATAAATAATGGCCCAAGCTCAAGACATCTAGAAACTAATTTGAGAGAATCTTTAATTAAAGTAAAAAGCTACTTGTCATTGAAGGAATTAAAATTAAATGTTCACAAAAGTGTGTTAATCAACTTACAACATAATTACAATCACTATCAACAAAACTTTAAAGTGGAAGTTTGTAATGAGATTGTGAATAAAATACTGTCATAAATTTTTAGGAATATTCATTGATCAATACCTAACGTAATATAAGCATGTGGATACTCTCTAAAATAAAATTAATATCGATATATTCCTCTTAAGATGCATTTCTTGGTATCTCAAAACTAGTACACTTCTATACACTTCTGTCCCACCAACCATAGGCCACCCCTGTAACTTCTAAACAGTTTAAAATATCAAAATGCAGTTTTTGCTCCACAATGTGGAATTATGGGGCAAGTAATATGCTGTTGTAATATAAAATTAGGATTTCTGACAAGTGGTTTTAAATACATTATAGTTTGAGTGCAGTGATGCCACCTTTCCCAAAGGCGACAGTTGTGAGGGTTTGCTAAAGAAAATCGTGTCTGTTTACTTTAAAATTGTAAAATCTAATTTTATACTAATTACTATAAAAATTCTAACATGTGAAGCTCATTGTATTCCCCGCTTTTATGATATATCTGTCTGATGAGAACAATATGTAGTACCATTTAAAAAGGCAAAGATGATTAAATTTCTGGAAAATTAAAAGTATTTTAAGCAATATCTCTGCAGCATATTACTTGCTCATGATTCTGCATTGTTGAACGAAAACTGCACTTTGATATCATGAACCATTTAGTAGTGATGGGGTGACCCATAGTTGGTGGTATCTCTTGTATATCTACAGTGGCATAATCCACACCCACGGTATTGTATTGAAATATGAGGAGATACAACACAAAAAAATATTTATAGGTTAATGGTCCTACAAAAGAAGTGTCTCAGAAGTATATTTAACTTACCACCAAATCGGTACCCTGTATTATGTCACTGCGGTGACAGACAAATGAATATCGAACAGCACATAAACCAGTCTCTGCTAGAATACCCAAACCAAGTCCTGTAAATACTTCTAAATTCAGGACCATGCAGACGTACACCTGGACTTACCAAGTCTGTTACATTTATCCCGTGCCAAGTGTATGCTACTCCTTTTGGGGGGATCAGCATTCTACATTGAATCCAGTTTTTATTTCCGAGCGTTACTAGTCCTGGGAGGATGGGATATGAAATGATGATGTTAAGGGAGAATGTACGACACAAACATACAGAAATACACAAATACACCCATGCCCGAGGCGGGTCTCGAACCCACAATCCTTCCATGTGAGATCGCTACGGTTCTACTGCCATAGTGATCCCGGATATCCGGATTATTACTAATATTAATAAACAATCATAATATTAGGTTAGTAATACAGATGTACATAACTGTTATTCTCGAGGACATAGGGTAGGGAGTATCATCATGCACATTAGCTAGTCCTCTACTATCAAATATCCACATTGCATTGCAGCACTACTTTTTGATAAGCTCCTGGTTAATATAAAAGTAGCTGATAACATCCTTCAAAGCATTCTGTAAGTCCCACCTCGTGCCATGTCCACATAATTTTAGCGAGTTGTAATGTATAAACAATAGTAGATTGGATTTAATAATTGATATAGTTCCATTACAAGAGTAACTAATATTTACATCCTCCTGTTATGTCTCGAACTCCCACTCGTATTAAAAGCATTATATTATTATTATTATTATTATTATTATTATTATTAATTAAATTTGTTCAAATAATTGGTTGCCCCGACCAGGACTCGTACCCACGCCTTCTAGTTTACGGCCAGCTGCTCTAACCACTAAGCTACTGAGCCACTAAGCTACAACATTATTATTATTATTTGTTAATGTCGTCACTGAATTAATGAATGTAATGTTCATTATAAGTGTTTTCATTTTATTTTCCAAATTTCTATTTTTTTTATTTTTTTTTTAACTTGATTGGCCACATTGGACCACTTGAGTCGTTCCACTTCACTTTACTGTTCATGGTCGACTGTGAAGGTGTGTCACCTTGAGGTGAGGATAAATCCTCGAGTTACAATTCTGAATGTTATTCAGAAAGGTGATAATGAGAGATGGAGGATGATGTTATGAATCTAGGGGGTGAAAGGACGAACACAACACAATCGTGCCCGAGGCAGGACTCGAACCCTGATTCGTCCGAGATCGCTACGGCACTACTGCCTTAGCGATCTCGGCCACCGGATCGGCGATTTCTATTTGTTATTATAAGCTAATTTATTTTTTACTGTATGCTAATGAAATTATTACATCTAAGTGTATATAATGATTCTGATAAACTATTATTGGATGGATGGACTGACCCTCCAACAGACTGACAAAACAGACAAGGAAAAATAATTATTTTCTTATCTGGGACTCCTTAAAACCATTTGTTTGCATTTGGATGGTTTAGTATAATTGAATAGTTAATTCAATTAATTTATTCCAAAGTTGAACAAAATTGTACTGAAATGTTTCATTATTTCTGGATGGATGCATTGTGAAATTGTGGAATTTAAAATAAATTGCAAGCAGAACACTTTATAAAACTAGTTTGCTTCTTTCTAATAAAATTTCTTGCAACATTTTAAAGACACTTGCAGGGTCACTGAAGTTGATCAACTGTATTCTGAGGATGATTTACAAGTAAATTACAATGCAATGTGAAAATAATTCAAGCGAATGTTTCTTCGGTGAGATTGATATGTATTAGTACAATAATGCCAGTCATTCCTATTTTGTTGTAAAGTCTTAAAATGCCTGTAGAGCTCCGTGCAACAGCACAGAGCATATTCCTGATTCATGTGAAAATGTTCGACATTTTCAGACCCATATCACAATATTGATTTATGGTGAAGGAGTGCAACATTACTGTGGTATATCCCTCAATGCACTCTCAAAGTAATTTGTGAGCAACACCTGAACAAGTTCTTTTGCTAAGGTTACCCATTCAACTGGCCATTCAGCTTGAAAGTGGTTAGGTGAAACAAACCATAAACAAGGTTCAGTCTATTGGTGACTGAAAAGTTTCATGCATTTTTACTTTGGCGCCATACTCCATAAGAAAATATCTTATATCCTGGCTCCCGATAAATCATTTTCGATATGTAGAAATGACTCTCTCTAACACATTGTGCAGTTAAAATCCATGTTTTGTGGGTTCCTGATACCAGAAAAAAATCAATTGATGGCAAAACTCTCTCTCTGTTCACACACACGTGTGGTGTATCTGTACATTTTGTTGTTTCTTGAAATATTTCTCAGGATTATATGTGTACAATATTCTTTCTTGCAGATCTGACCAAAAACTTAGTCTTGTGGGCAATCCAGGCTACCTCCTGAAACCTTCACAGACTGAGAATATGTCTTGCGAGTACATCTCGCTGGATACTATGGAAAGGTGGATAACTTGTGAGTTCTGTTACCAAATTTTTGATTGTGAATTTTTTTTTTTTTACCAATTACCTGCACTTTCTACCCAATTATTGTGGCAGTTTGCTTGTACAAAAATTGAATGAATTATTTTAAATAATAGTACAGATAAAGCCCGTATATATTTGTTTGTCATGTCCAAATAAAATATATCATTATAAGTTAAGAAGTTGATAGTCTGAACTGAAAAAACAAAACAGGGATCTTATTTGTAATTGTCTGTTGAGGATGAGGAATAAGAAGGCAACAAATGCAGTGATAATTGGTATCTGTAATTCCCTCATTAACGTCAATTTCAGGGAACTGAAATAATCAATGTTTGCATTATAAAAATTGTTGTCATCCAATTGTTACATATGACCCGTTCACTATGTTTTCATGCTAGGACCTTCACTTTGTTTGAGTTAAGGTATTTCATACTAATATGCTTTCTTAGGTTTCCGCAGTTGGAGTAAATACATTCTTGGCTATCTGGAATGAGGTGCGTCTCTGTCAATTGTGCTGACGTGTGGGCCATCTTGCTGTGGCCTGCTTCAGAGCTATACTGCTGATAGTGATACAGCGGTATAGCTCTGAAGAAGGGCACAGCAAGATGGCCCAAACAGCACAATTGACAGAGGCACAGCTCATCCTGGATAGCCAAGAATGTAATTCATACTAAGATTTACAATGTAATCAAAGTCCCAACATCTGTTTTAATATTCAGAAAAATTTGGAATTTTATATCAGCCTGCATGTTAGGATGTTTGAAGAAATATGGGAGTTGGTTTTCCCTACGAAATCAGATACGCGTACCCCCAATATTTTCTGTTTGACCTTAATACTCAAATAATAAATATTGTTGCGATTGGATAAGGATAACCTGTGCCAACTTAGATGCCAAACGTTAAAGATGAACTTTTACACTGAGTCAATAAAAAAAGAATTCTAGAACTCCAATATTTGGTAAATTAAGCAGGAATAATCCCAAATCATGTATCTATTTAATATTTAGAAAATATTATTTTGTAAATTTTCCTTTCAAAGTTTGCTTTTTACCATCAGGATGAATCCGATGTTCTTGTATAAAATGTTATAAAAATAGTTTCTGTTCCTCTTGAACTGTAATTAAACTATGAAAGTCTTGACTGCTCTTTCAGCTGAATCATCTACTGCTCTAAGTGTTGAAATCTTCTTTCTTGTATCTAAATCTTTCTTCTTTCCAAATGAAGCATTATTTGACCACAAAGCATTCATAGAGAAAACTCATTAATTTTAAGACATTGAGGACCGAATTCATAGTCGTGTCTTACACTGAGTGTTCCTTTAAGTGCACAAATCATATTCATAAACAGCCCTTGAGTGAAGTCTTAAGTGAGCACTCATTCCTATAAGCAAGGCAGCCTGCTCCCTTTGGTGTCCCTTATGGCTCCGTCGTATCGTCAGTCATAACCAGTTTAGGTTATACTTAAATGTGGCGTTCACCGACTCTTGAATTTGTTTTGCTGGTGTTTGTATAGCGTAGACAGTTAAAACCTATCATTTGTGAAATGTGTTATGGAAAACGACTTCAAAGATTATTTTCAGTTTTATACTCAACACATCCTGCGAAATGCAGAGAGATATATTAGAGATACGAGGAACCCATTGGAAATGTAGAATGATGAACAATTCCGAAAGCGGTTTCGTTTGAATAAAACTACTGTAGTGGATACATTTGTGCCGATGGTCGACTAAGTCCCAGTGACCAAACAAGGATTGCCTATTTCCCCCTTATTAAAAGTTCTCATTGTATTAAGATGTTATGCAACTGAATCCTTTCAGGAATGTTTCCAAAATGTTTAACATTTATTCATTTCTGATTTATAAAACCTATTATAAGTAATTATGAATTTCGCAATATGAATAACAAGTGAAGTAATTTAAATTGTTGAAAAATGGAATTTATGTTAATGCTATAAGGGGTTGACATTTTCAATTACATGAAATATTAATAATTCATTACCATTAATGGCAGACTTATGTTCATACCATGTTACAATACCTTATGTTTATTAGTTATACAAGAGCATAAGTTAACGTTGAGGAATCAATTGAAACTGATGTTAAGTATTATATTACAATCCAATAATGCACATAAATAATGTGTAGAAAATGTACAAGACATTGCAGAGATTCATTAAAATTTTGATATGAGGTTCATGGATTATATTTTTTACCACACATTTCTTATTATTAGGGATTTGTAACAAATACATTTTTAAAATATTAACGTGATACCAACGTCAAATAGTCATTGAAATTATATGAGGATCATAGATTATATTGTTACAAATCTGCTTGTTATTAGTGATTGGTAGTATTTCCCAACGTCCGTTTTCTGAATTCTTGTCTGAATTTTGTGCATGTGATCCGCTCTGCCGAAATATGTAGGTTCCCTAATCGACTTTGAATTTCTTCCCACGCTCGAAGGCCTGTGTACGCTTTATATATTGCATAGAGATGTGACTTTAATCTCCTCCTTTCGAGTGACTCCCATACTCCTTTATTCTTGGTACCCCTGAAAGTAATATTTAATTCTCTACACTGGACCTTTCCTAGATTCCTTTGCTGCAAAATTGTGTATGAGTCACAACATATCGCGCCATATTCGAATATGGGTCGCACTAATTACATATATGATAGTTCTTTGGCTCTCGCTGTGCTCTTTTTCAGAATCCGCATAACAAAATGTAAAGATTTCCAGGCTTTCCCTACAATTGACTTGATTTTCCCTTATCAATTTACTGTCCAACTGTATTCCTAAATATTTGCAAGACGTGACTCGAGGTATAACATTATTGTTCAATTTGTACGCAGATTCATTGTAACTTCGACCCCTACCAAACGTGATGGACTTTCTCTTTGAACTGTTTATTTCCATGCCGTTTGTCTCCGCCCAGATGTGTAATTTGTCTAAGGGCCGGTTTCACCAACAGCCGAGTAAAGTTGAGAGTAGTTACCTGAGAGCAACCATTTACTCCAAGATAGTAACTCTCGAGTAGAATATGAGTGTTTCACCATGCTTCTAGAGGGTTA